ACAAAGACAAATTATTTAAAATTCTTTGGTCGATACACACTATACTAAAACCAGTACAGATAATTGATTGTTTGTTATCATTAGGATCTGTCTCCTGAATGTCCTTTAGCCATTTCACAAATTGTACACCACACATAGTATTACCTATATTGTATGTACCAGTACACACACACCTGTCTGATGTACTTTTAGAAAAAGACTAAAAAGGATCATTGCACACCATGCAGCACACATTTAGAATCTAAAAGCTTTAGAATAAATTGTCCTGTTAAAAAAAGAATTTTGACACCAGGGCTCTCGATCTGTCAGATTTGGGGATTCCCAATGCAAAATAGTATCTTTTTTTCCCCAATTTAGACCCCAATTTTTCCCAATTCTAAGAAAAACAGCATTATTTTTCCCAATTCAAAGGGCCCCGGGCCCCAGTCCCAAAATGGCGCATGAGAGCCCTGGACACATTAACTATAGTTATGTATTTCATTATTTTACAATCTTTTTTTACATATTACGGCAAAAAAAAAAAATTAAAAAGATGTTATCTGAAGCATAATTTTCATTAAAGAGTCTCACAAAAGCAAATTATGTCTGTTTCCCCTATATTTAAAGCAGAATTATATACTGAGTATGCATAAATATACCAGTATGTACTGATGATTTTTGGAGTTCCTAGCTACATATATACAGACTTTTCCTGTGGGACCCACAACACTCCATAAATCTGATCCCAAGAAATTCAATAGTATTTCTACTATATGGTCCAGCAGGAATCAATCCCCATTCTACGATGTGATAGTCCACTGAGTCCCAACTAAGGAAAAGAAGCAAGCTCTGTCAGTCAACAGATCTCTAGAGATCTACACTGTACTGAAAAACTTATGTACACACAACAAAATCTGTTATTTTCAACACTACTCCCTCTTTTCCATAATAGTTCTTTAATATTCAGCCAAGAATCTTAAAAAAAATGCCACACAAACTGTGCGATTTTATTTTGTACAAATGTAACAGAACATGGAGAAAATGCATTACTGCCAAGCATCCCGACAGGAATTGAACTTATAGGTAGCTAGTGTGAAAATTCACTAAATTAGCCAAAGAAGCATTCTCCATTGTACCAGCCATGTCAACTGATACTAACGTAGGAGGGTTGTCAAATAATTTACTGTGAAGCCATCTCGGCCCTTACCAATCTGACAAGATTGTCAAGGTAGATACATCACTGTAATCCTTTGTTTCCTTATTACTAATACAGGTGATCAGAGTTATTTGAAAAAGTATGAAATGCTCCATACTTACATAACTCTTTTATCCTTTGTCAACTTGGGTTTTTTTTTTTATTTTGAAATACTCAAACTTTCTGAAATGTTAAACCTTTAAAAATACAAACAGACCCAATTTATTGTAAATACATTTTTTTTTGATAAAAAAAAATGTTAACCTCAAAACCAGGAAGTGTTGAGAAAACTTAAGTGCTATTAGTATGTACATTATAAGTGTGAATCTACAGTCTTCCTGTACATACAGATTGTCATGAGTTGCTAAACCTCAAAACTTGCATCACTGTTAACAGTGTTGTCTACTTCCTGTAACTGTCTGGTAGCAAGACCTACCTAGTGTTGTGCAGATATAGGCAGAGGCTATATTCAGCATGCAAAGTATAATTCAGTATATACCATGTACATGTATGACAGAAGTGTATAAATTTTGATTCTAATCACATTTTTTCACACGCCAGTAAATAAGATATTTTCATGGTCTTAGATTTAAGGTAGCTAGTACTGTTATTACAATAGTCAACCCATTAAGTGTCCATGTCCCTATAAATGCCCCTCCCCCATTTATACCTAGCACAACATTTGGTCTGCTTAAATACACATTTTTGTGTACAACCAAGAAGGTTTTAGTTTATGTTTAAGCAAATCCACCCCCTACTCCACCCCTTTGGTCCCAGTAACAGAAGAACACTATTTTACCATTGGTAACTGTAACAGAAATATAAAGAATTTACTGTCGTTGTCCTTAATGAAAAAGTGTATTATACCTCGTCATGACCAATTCTGATCTTCTTACTTGTGGTTAATGGGTCAATTATGGTTATATATACACATGATTACAATTTCAGGTCAACACTAAATCCATATGTACATTAATTAATGCGATTGGATACACAATCACTAGACATATGTATGCACATGCACACTGTTCTTTCGTTTGGAGCTGAATATGAGGCCTGCTCCCAATAGCAAAATCTATCATATTTTCCCGATTTCGACTGTAAATTACCAAAACAATAGAAGTTAAATCTTAATCGTTTTGGTAACAGCTCATGGTTAGGTTGAGCAGGTTGTGTATTTGCTTTGAAAATCAAAATATAACCTACCCCGACAGATGTTGTACTATTTGATGATTTCAGCGATTTTGTTGTACTTTTTCCCTAGCTCAATTAAAAGCAAATTGCTCCATTTCCAAAGAAGTATAAAAATAGTCTTGATACGTACAGTGTGATTAATCTTACCTTCAAAACAATGCATTCAAGCTATGTACAGATATTTTACAGTACATGTACAATATATAAAGCATTTATATTCAATCCATAACGAGTACCGCCTGTGGACCTATTAACAAATTTTCAAAAATATCTAATTGGTATAACAGGAGATCTAGAAACATACATGATGCTACTGTTTTTAACCGTTCAATATTTACATCAATTGATGTGACACTACAACAATCAAACTGAAACACAAATTTCCAAAAATTTCATAAAAATTCTCAACAAATCAACGAAATTAAAACTGGATGGTGTTTTTGTAGGAAATTCTATTCATCAGAAATTACAAACAAACAATACAATAACTAGTAAGCAAAGGTTTCAGGTTTGTGAATTCTGTAGACCATTGATGAATACCACAGGGTTTAAGTGCATATATTCTAGATCAAAGCATGTGATGCCCATGGCAAGCAGACTTACTGACAAAGAAAATTATATAATGAATTCTTTAACATTTACGTTACTATGTAAATAGATCCTGGGTAGATTCCTTTCAAATCAATGCCGAATGGCTGATAAATATACAATACCTGATTTTGCAAATCCGTGTAATACAGTCTGAGTGAACATGTATTTAATATTTTGAAACATAATGAATGACCCATCTTCAATAAAAAAAAAAAAAAATTTGAAGTCTGTAAACAATTTCAATAACATAAAATTTTACATAATATAGTTATTCCTTATCTTTTTTTTTCAAAGACAGAATGGCCAGAATTAAACTGATAGTGATACATAATTAAAACTACTCATTAAATTTTGAACAGCCTGTCTGATTCCAAACTCAAAGCCTCAAAGTTGATTTTCAGACATTCCATTCAAAACATACCTTAGCTGAACGATGTACTTCAAACCTTGAAAATATAACTATATCATACCACTCTTTTTCAGTTTGGCCCATGATCAAGATTCTGTACATATTTCAAAATCTGAGGAAAATCTATTTCAATAAAGCAGAGAGTTTTAAGCCTTGTCAAAACAATTTAGACAACTTGTACATGGGAAGGTTTTTAAAAGCTTCACATATAATCATGACCTTACCACAGTGACAGATAGGACAGATGATAATCCAGCTGCTATCACACACACGCGGAGTATCATAAAAACATTTAACTTTCAACAATAGGAAGTAAATGTATAATCATACTATTTCACAATATCCTGTACACGGTTTATCCAAAACAAAACTGAAACTTGTTCTTATTTATAAAACCACTCAGTTTTCCAAACAATCATTGTGTTTCTATATTTAGATTTCCTTGCTAGATATTGGTTTTCCCAGAAATGTATTAGTCTAAGGCACCAAAAATGTTGGCAAATTGTCATTTTAAAAAAAAACAAAACTTAGTATTGTTGATCTCAAAATTGTACTTGTATAATAATATTTCACTAGCTGTATCAAGACACAAATGTCTAAAGAATGATTTGGAATATTATTTACAAAATGTCAACATCTAAATAGAAAGTATATAATTAGAAGATTGAACAAATTATTCGAAAATTCAAACTACATATAATGACTTTATTACTTTTATCTTCCAAATTCAATTGAGCTTGACATAATTTCACCTACCTCTTTCAACAAAATATCAATATCTATTATATAAAAGCTGATAACCACAATGAAAATGTTGCATCATGCATGTTTTTGCGTGACTGTTATTGTGTGAATGTTATAGTGGTTTTGATAATTTTTCAATATATTATTTTATTAAAAGACATAAGTAAAAAAAATGCATATTATGAATTACTGTTTTTCACATTTACCTGTTATTTCAACTTAAACTGATCACCTATATATGATACTTATTAACAATGTTAATTAAAACTGATGTCGTGTTAGAATTACAATCACTGTATTATTTTCAATAATTATATCACGTTTTGTGTTTTTTTGTATGATTAAGTTAAGTATAATTATAGAATGATACGTCTAACTATGTCCCATGCTGTGAATGACACCTCTGTTTTAAATCGCAATACATAATTTAACATAAGAAGACATTATGAGAACCGATTTCTGACGATGTCAGAGTTCACATTCGTACTAAATATGGACAGCGTGTACTTGTCAATCATATATACTATTCTCATCTAAAACAGTTTAACACTTGAATAACTATTAGAATGTGCCTCCGGAAACTACATCTTGTACGGTTTAAAGGTGATAGTTATATTGCGTCTTGACCTCAGTCTATTGTTTGAAGAGTTAGCGATGCCAAACTGCAATTTTGAAATTCATTTCACCAATTTGGATGAATAATAACCATACAAAATGGAGAAGGTCATCTTCTTTCGACTACAAAACAACGACAGAAATCAAGCTCGTAAGCAATATTGTTTTGACAGTTGCTTACCTAGCTAAAACACAAACACAAATCGAAAGTGCACGCATTGAACACAAATGTTTTGAGTCTCTACGTACTTTATGATACATTTGCATACTCACCAGTAAGCAGAATGGTATTGCAGATCTCGATCTCAGGCCCTTTCGGGCAAGACCCACCAAATGTGGCTAAGAATCGCCGTAATTTCCAATATACACAATGTTGTCCTATATTACCCCGGCACTTCCTAAGATGGCGGTACAGAATGTCAACAGACGGTGACGTCAGGGTGGGAGTTGTCATATGACTTAGGTCAAGGTTGTTGTTGGTAAATACAATTTACGAAAGCATAAAGCTGATTATTACCGAAACGCAATCTCCATTCCTTGGATTGTTGGATTATTAATGAAAGGAAAATGTTTTCAATCGTTGAAAAATAGGGAAGCCAATCGGATTAAAAAGGTTTAAGCGATTTTGAGGATGCGACCAGGTTTAACCTGAGAGAGACAGGATACAGCGGTTTACAAGCATCATGATTGTCATTACATGAAAAACCGTGGCTAAATTCCTTTAATATTGATATTACACACAGAACCGATCTGGACTTATCAAATAGACGAATAACCATGTAACGTCAACATTGAAAAATCTTAGTAACATTTGTTCGTGTAATGCCATGTATTGCTTAACAGGTTGCTTTTTTTATACAGATGACCTTTCAGATAACCTTTTTTAAAAGGTTTTATTTCTTGTAACTGTTTCTGAATCTCTCCCCATTTTGATCTTCTTGGCTACAAATTGTTATGTGCTACTATATATGGTGTTGTTTAAACGGCTATAGAAGTTAATACTGCTCTTCTTCATCAAAAATGTTTTGTTTTAAAAGATTTAAATTCGACTTACTCGTAAAACTCTACCTTAGTTGTTCCCTGTTATACGAATAGGTGGTTTTGTTGCTCTTTCTATTAATATTTTTTCACACAATTGTGAATATTTATTTTATTAAAGGAAGTTTGCAGTAAATAACATAAAACAAGCAAATAAGAAAATAAAACAAATCAAACACCTAAAACACAAAATAATAATAAAAAAACAAAAAGCCTAATTGAAAAACAAAACAAAACAAAAACAAAAATAAAAACCACACAAAACAGACAATCAAACAAGCGAAATAGAAACCAAGAAAAGAAAATCAGAAAAAAAACACACACAATAATTCAATAATAATGAAAAAAGGTTTAATAGAAAATGAAAAGGTAATAAGTAAATCTGCAGTTATATATGCTCGCAGATTAAAAGCTAACCTTTCTAGTCCTTGTTAATTACTTTTTTTATAATATATAGTATCTGATCTAGCGTAGACCGGGAATACCGGGAAAAATCTGTTGCATATTTAAATAACTCATTTAAATATGTTGTACAATTTGGACATAGTGACGTTTAAATGTTCTATTTGAGACAAAGACACGCCCCCATTCACCCTTAGGTGAATTTCTCATATTGTTTTCCAGAAGTCGTGTATGTTGGTGTAGAGGCATTAGCATACATGGTGCTGTTCCACATAAAATTCAATGCAACCTTTAAAAGCAACCTATCGAAAGGTATTCACATTTAAAATAACTAGCTACGAAGCAATATTTTCGCAAAAAATTCAAAGGAAAAATAAAGCTAAAATATGGGGAGATTTTGAAGCTAATGGGTTCTGGTGTAGTGAATCCTTTTTACATACGTTCAATATACGTTACATTTCTCATGATACACAATGATATCATCTAAACATAGTTAAAAACAATTAGTTGAACGAGTGTGGAAACCGAATTTGATTGTCACAATTTACAAAATGACATACCTGACATTAATTTGTTGTCTGATTCCGTTAGTATTCTTAAAGTGGCGTATTTTGAAACGAATGGTTTGAAACACCGCGTCTAAGATTTTTCCTGTTGTGTATATAGAATACAAAAGCAGGACTTCAACATGTCATCAAAACGAAGCAAAGTGTGATTTTCCTGGCAAGCATGGGTTGTCACATGAACAAAGCTCCCAAAGGTAGTGTTCTCTTTGTCCCTTTATTCCTAATCGCCGTTAAAAAGTCGAACGTGCTAAGTCCACCTGCTGAATTTCGATACACTTTTGAGGTTTTTGTGTAGTTTGTAAAGCTTTGTTTTAGTACGAGGTATTTATTACCGTTCTTTTCTGTACATGATGTTGTTAATCAATATGCTTGGTTCCAACAGGCTTGTTTAATCCGTTTTTTGAATTTTTAATTAGTTATCGTAAATTGCATCCGGTCGATATGTGGTATGATCTAGGGACACTAAATATGGGTGTCAGTCATGTTAGTTTATATAGACATATTTAAAATAACCTCAAAAAAGAGATGACATCACGACAGTATTTGTTCTCCTCATACTGAGAACATCATGTTTTCTTATTTGTGTACATAGGAAAAAAATTAGAATATTTCCATAATACCAACAAAAAACAAACTAACAATATTGTTAATTGATAAAAAGTCTCAACCTAGAACAGATTATTAATAAAGGCATATGTTGCCTGTTAGCTGACCTTTTTGTTCATAATTTTCAATTTTTGAAATATTCAAGCAAAATGACAATCTCGATTTACTTACAAATTTTCACACGAACTCAAAAATATTGACTGAAAATGTTTACCTAATCCACGAATCAATGGTGTATTTGTAAATGAAATGACATTTATCAGTGCTGTAAATGAAATGACATTTATCAGTGTTGTAGATGAAATGACATTTATCAGTGCTGTAAATGAAATGACATTTATCAGTGCTGTAGATGAAATGGCTTTGAAGTGAGCAGTTGATGACCGTATTATATTGACACTTTATAAAGACACATAGAAAGATAAACGAAGCCAATACAAAATTCACCATCGCAAAAATGAAAAGAACAAAGCAGATTTAATAGACAGATTTGGTATTTAACATATTCTTCCAGTATTGGTGGATCGTATGCCAAAATCATTTTAATGTCTGCCCTCTTCCATTTATTTCTCTTCGTCTTTTGCCTCTTCTTCTTCTTGAATCAAAATGTTGTAAAATAATACACTATGTAATATTTAAGGCCATGGCGTCCATATTGGATTTCGGAGTAATCCAAAAAACAAGAGGCCCAATGACCAAAATCGCTAACCTGTTCTGCAGTTTGTTACAAATAAATAAATAAAAACCAAGATAATACCAACTTGTCAACATAATCATAATCCAAAATGAAATTCAGTAAGACTAGGGGTAAAAATGAAGAAAAGAAAGATTTCCACGGAGACTCCTGAAAAAATACAAATAAAATAAGACCAGGTGTTACGGAAGAGTAAGCGTCTTGTGCTTCTTCATAGACACCTGCCAGGAAAACCTTGGTCAATCCAAGTAAGTAATGTCACATTGTCAAATAAAAACAAGGTGTACAACGACGGAAGCAACAGGCAAACTAACGAACATCAAACAAGTACTGCTCTATATCGCACAAAGAAATGTTACTTAATTAGACTAATTTCCCCATAGTTTTCATCAAAAACCATCTTTTGAAACCCTATCTTACAAGTTTGGGATCGGGCCCTTGAATATCAAACCAATTGTAAACACTATAGCTTAGGGATGCAGGATCGTTGCTATCCAGAAATGAAACATTCACAATAGGGAAATTGAAATAACCACGCTTATCACTGCCTTACAGGTAGGACGTAAAATGACCGTGTTGCCCCTGTTGCCTAATCGAAGAAGCGACTTAAACCTGGAATTGTAACATTTTGTTTTTTCTAGTTATCTTTCTTCGGCGTAATGCCTTTTTTGTCATTGTCCCATATTTTAGTTTAGTGTTCACTTCAGTGAGGTAGAAAAGCTTTGTAGTTTTGATCACATTCCTGTGACATGCTCAAGGCTCGTTTTACGATTTTGCAAGCCCACATCGTGCAACCTGCGTGTTGTAGTCCATAAAGTTAGGTATTTTTTGAAAATCCTGTCATAAATTTCAATTCAGACATTTTATTCGGAGATATTTAATTTGCTTTTCAGTTATAAAAAAAAAATTAAAAATTTGAGACGATTTTCACAAATTCTCATACGGAACGAAAACAAAATAAAGGTACTTTTTATTTAACTTATAAGTAAAAAAATGTTACTTGTATGTGTGGAGGACAATATCAATTATAGGCAGCCAATGAAAAACGTTTTAGGGTACTGGTGACACGAGCAAAAATACCAAATCGTATTTAGTTAAATCGCCACCGACGTTAAAGGGGAAGTCACTTTAATTCTGATACGGAATTTTAGCATGGAAGTCTTACAATCATAATATATTGATTTTGTTTTGTACACATATTGTGAAGTTTTGATATCATTGCTATCATAAGAATAAGTTTAATGCAGTTTGTAAATTTATTTTGATGTGATAATACTCATGGTTGATATTGATGACTAAAAACAAGAATTCAGTAATAAAATAAATCTATCATATGTTTTTTTTTCATTCTAGAAATTTTTTGTCAGTCGCAAACTCGTGTTGAAATCAGCACCCAGGGGGTAGTGGGGGTTATAACACGTTCTCTGTATGCTGAGAATAGCTGGTTTATATGTAGATCATGCACCTGCTCCTTCTCCATGTAAACTCACAACTTGGCAATGTTCATCACTTCCCGTACTTTGTATACTTCCTCCTTGTCACTCGTTGCTCTCTGGAATATCTGTTTCCACTTCCCGCTTACATAGAGAAGGGGCAGGTACACGCATGCTTTTTCATCATAATGATTATATTAATTTTAGTCATCAACATCGCATTTCTTTCATAAAGATACCAGTGATGTCATTCACATATATTAAAAGTATAGAATATTTGGCTTCAGAAGAGTGAGGAAAAGCGGGCTAGAGAAATATGCTTGCTGAAATCTGTTTATTTCGTTGATATATTGCTGAGTATGCAAAAATATAGTTTGGGTTTCTTGATCAGAAAGAGAAGTGTTAACGAATGGGAGAAAATCTAAGTTTAAGGGTGTATATCCTTTAAGTTGACGAAACAACTACATTCGTTGGTAAATGCAATTATCACAGATGAAAAAGAAATGATAGGTCTCTTCAACAACGATAGTGATGGTAACCCCTGGAGTATAGAGGATGGTTCCAGTGATTCGGAGAGCGATAGTGAGAGTAACCCCTGGAGTATAGAGGATGGTTC